TGACATGTCAGTTTTTTTTGTTTGTTTTTATTTTGTTTTAATTCAGCATTGTGCAATGCAGAGGAAACGTCAGAAGGAAAATTTGCTTCACTGAAAGTCCATCCAGACAGCAAGTTGAAAAGGCAGCATGTTTACTCATCCTTCCTGCTAATCGTGTTCTCTTTCACTTCCAGCTCTCAGCCAGGCACATTCAGTCCTGTTGAAAAGACTCACTCACTTCCTTTGGGTCCCTCAGCTTTGCTTGATTCATCCGGGTTGATTAGAGGGGTATTTTAATGATGTACATCGAACCGTGAATCAATGCTAAATAAAAACGGTTTAAATTGAGCCTAATTAGATTCATGACTAACATGTATACAGTGGAATGTTGGCAGTCTGAGTCACAACTGGAGTAGGTGACAGTATGGAGGGGTTGCTTGGTGCCACAGCATCGATTGATATCCCAGCAGGTTATCTCAGTGGTTCCAAAACTATTGTCTAGGTAAACTAAAATAGGACTATTCCTACAGTGAGATGGATGGGAAAGTTCCACAGTATAATAGAAGGTACAAATATATAATTTCAAATAATTAATATATAAAATTCAAAACCTTGTTTTAGTGTAAGCCATAAAATTAATACATATAGTACAGAGTAAATTTTGAAGTGTTAAAGTAACACTTTAAGAGTGCATTTGGTCCTACTTGGAATTAGCGTTAAATTAGAACTCTACGTAGCGTATATTTTACTCCAGCTGTTGTTGTAATAACTCTAAAGGAGTCAATGTACATTGACACTGCATATTTAACACAGTGGAATTTACTATGTACAATCTATGTACATAGTAAAAAAAACTTTAACAGCTACAGAGTTTAATATAACTCTATTTAAGATAAAGTTTGGTCTCACTCCAAATGAGTGTAAAAATTACTCTATTGCTAGTGTAAATTTTCAATTAATTTCACTCATTTTATTGTCAAAATCCAGAAGATCTCTTAAAGACTGGTGGGTAATCAATACCATACAGAGTAAAAGTTACACTGCATGGCTGTTTATTTTCCACTGACTATTAACTCCAACGCTTGAGCAGAGTTACACTCAGTATAGTTGTAAATACTCTATTTAGAGTGAAATAGGTTCACTCTGAATTCTACACTCTAAACTTTTTGAGACAGAAATGTAAAGTTGGGGAACAACAAATAGAGAGGCCTTTGAAGCTCAGCCTCACCAAGGAATATATATATAAATTGTCTAGAAAATAGCTGCCTACCTAACTACACCAATATGTACAGTCAGAGTGATTATTTGATCTTTCTGTCAGAGCACTTCACTATCAATCTGCAGGTTTACTAGTGGTTCCTAGAATTTCTAAAAGTAGAATGGGAGTCAGATCTTTTAGTTATCAGGCTCCTCTCCTGTGGAACCAACTACCATTTTCAGTCCATGAGGCAGACACCCTGTCTACTTTTAAGGGTATAGGCTTCAAACTTTCCTTTTTGGTAAAAGCATATAGTTAGAGTGGTTTAGGTTATCCTGAACTATCTCTATAGTTATGCTGCTATAGGTTTAGACTTCTGGAGGACATAGCGACCCCTATTTCCTCATTCTGCTTCATTCTATCTCTATTCTCGCACCCTGCATAATCTGTTAGTTCAATCTCTAACATTATGCTCTCTCTGTAACGATCTTGGTTCTGTTGTTTTTTCTTTAAGTTTTCTGTTTCAAGTTTAGCCAGGTTTTTCATTGTTTTCTAGCTGTATTGGTGTGTCTGGATTCATTTAAGTTGCTTAGGTTTTTCTGTCTATCCTCTGCTGCCTCCTTGTGTTTTTTTCCCTTGGCTTCCTCGTCAGCTCTAATCACACCTGCTCCCTATCAGCTCATTAGCTCTACCTTTGTTCAGTCAGCCATAAATACACTCCCTCTGCAGTCCCTCTTTGCTGGTTCCTCGTCTTATCTTCTCTCACCCTGGCTCCTTGATGGTTTTCCCCTGATGTCTCTATGGTTCTGGTTTGTGTTTGATTTTATGTCGGATTTTTGGATTCCTGTTTTTGTTTAACATTTTTAAGTTGGATTTTTGGATACCTGTTTTTGTTGCCTTATCTCTCATTAAACCCTCCAAGAACTCCTCTGCCTCTCAGCTTCTGCTTTTGGGTCCAAACAAAAACCTCAAAACAAAATCTTGACACTCTCTGCTCTTTCTCATAGTAGCTTTGCCTCGTCTGTTCCTGTTTGGCTGTGACACCATCGTGGAAAGAAATATCAGCTGCTGCCACCAACACCTTTGTTTATGGATGTTGGAGATCTGCCTGTTTTTCCAGTGTAGTCCTGTTTCTCTGACTGTGACTGGCTGGATGTGCTCTCTTCATCCTCTGACATGGGAGTTGGCTCGGAGCTCGTCTGCCTGGCTGTGTGTTTACTGGACGGGGCTGCCTTTTGCAGCTGCTTTTTGTATCTCTGCTTCTGTCTCCTTGAACCCCAGTCGGCCTCAGCAGATGGCCGCTCACACTGAGCTTGGTTCTGCTGCAGGTTTCTTCCTGTTCAAAAGGAGTTTTTCCTCTCCACTGTCGCTTCAATCATGCTTAGTGTGAGGGATTGCATTCGAGTCAATGAGTCGATGCAATCAACTGGTTTTCCTTAGATAGAAAACTTTAAATCAATTTGACTGTATGATCTGGTGAACTATAAAGTGCCTTGAGATGACATGAGTTGTGAATTGGTGCTATATAAATAAACTGAATTGAATACTTTCACCCAACAAAATGGCATTGAAGATAATAAAGAAACCATCTAACATCAATATCACACAGCTGTAGTATATTCCTAACAAATGTGGTCCTTCTACAGAGGGAATGTATAAACAACTAGATAAAGTCAACTGCAGCAAAACTGACATCTTGGGGTCACCAAATCTTCACACCAACCATCTCATTTCAGGCTGTTGCAGCATATTTTTGTTTACTAGTTTTTAAATTCTACATTTATTCTTTAGAAGTTACACATCTGTTCACAATATAATGGTGTTTTATACACTGAATCTATTATAGTGACTCATTTCACTATGTGACCCACTTTAAATCGAACATTTTCACGAAGACTGCTGCTTTCACACCTTTGTTTCTGTTAATGAGTGATTTTATTCTTACAGCTAATGCTAACAAAAAATGTAACATTAATAAATGACATCTGACCAAGAAGAAAATTTTAATACAGAAATGTGAGTTTGATTGAAATATTTTTGCAAATGGTTTAAGGTTATTTTAAAGACTACCGGTACTTAAAAATGGACTGATAAGCCTATCTTTTTAATTTAACTGTGTGGGAAATTCAAATGACTTGTTAAATGTTAAATTCATCAGTGAGTTCAGGTATTTTGTTTTTTTAATCCTGATTTATTTTTGTATATTTGGGTTATTTCAGTGTTTGGACATGTTTACGGTCTATTCATGTTAAGTTAGTTCCCCTGACCTCGCTGTTTCCTCTACTGTTCACTCTGTGCCAGGAAATCAATGCCTTCGGCTCATCTAGTCACGCTCCTTACAGCTGAACTGTAATTAATCACCTATTTGGTAAAAAGACTCATCATGGTCTTATGAATGAGTGACGTGGTGTTATAGATGTTTAATTACTGAAGATGAAAAGTAGAACACACTTAGCTAATGCTTTATTTGTCAATTTTATTATTGTGGTCAGTGTTTACTTTGCCTTCTTCCCACAATTTCAGCCTAAAAGCAAATATGGGAAACCTAAAAAAAAAACATATCAGCTAAACTGTAATTACAATAAGTTTTAGTTTAAAAGGAGAAGTGCAACAACTGTTGCAAGGAAGCCAAAATGAAACAAGGTAAAAACAGACTTAGTCTGAGTAAGGACTTCTTATTTATTTAATGTGGCACATTTTTGGTCTTAATAAACCATTTTTATTGATAGATCCAGGATATGAAGGAATTACTAAGCAGAGAGACGGTGAGCATACAAGTTGCCTTAAAACACACATAAATTGACATTTTTAAAGATTTTTTGGGAGGTAATGTCTTTTTTGTGTGTGAGAGGGAATCAACTTTAGTGCAGTAATAAGAGCCAGTCAAGTGTAAAACAGAGAAAAGAGGATTATGTGGAACCAGGCACAGCTCTAAGTCTGCCTCACACACAACACTTATAAACACACAATGGACTCAGCAGTTAATGTTGTACGAGGTATGATGAAAGTTGCTTCCTGCAGTTGAAATTTTTAGTTTTAAGTCAAACCTTGCATCCTGTTTTCTGAGGTAAATAAATAGCCAGTGAAAAAACACTTGAGTCAGACACGTATTTGTCAATTTTTGGTTTCCTTTTTTGATTAAACACATGCATTTGTACATTTTCTAAGATCAGTGATTTGAGGAAAAAAAAGTAGAATATAAAAGAGTTCTCCATATTTAATAAAGGCACGAAGAGGCAGTAAAGCAAATATAACTACAAACATTAACCTTTTCTCTCTGTTCATAATCCTTACACATTTCTGGTGGGTTGACCTTTGTCCTCCCACAAAGCTGTGCTGCTAATCAAGCTCTGAATTAATAACATTTTAAGGTCATATCCCACTTTAACACATCAGCTTTTCATGTAACGTTCCCTCTATCAGTCAATAATCAAGGTAAAATAAATAATAAAAAAACATGTTTGCTAATGTTACACATTTTACTACATACAAACTACATAACATTAACAGATACTTTCATAATTTGGCTTAAAATCTGATCAGACTGACAGCTGAGTCAACTCTCTTAGAAAGAAGTTACCATTGTTGTTCATTCTTAGAAACCCCCTACATCCTTCTCTCTATCCCAGCTTTCCTGCCATTCTTTACTTTTTTTCTTCACATCCAAATTCCCTTTGGTTCGCTGGGTCATTTTTTTTAGAGCAGGCGGGCCCACTAAGTTATAACTCCTCCCCCTCTTGTGATGAATGTAGGAGGTGAGGAGAGAAAGAGACAATAGACTTTAATCACTCATGTGGTGTGGAGCTGTTGGCACGCTGAACTCCATGTGTGCTGAGAAGTAAGGAGAAAAGAAAAAATAAGAGGGTTTGACAGTCTTAGAGAACGCCTGCCATTCATCAACAGCCACACTGAGAGGAGGGCGAATACATCTGGCCAGAAACTTCTTGGTCCTCCAGAACTTGGATCTTCTCCATCCTGAACAACAGCAATAGAAGAGGAGCTTTTTCCACTCTGCCGACGAAACTGGAGTATGGCCTGCCATCCTTGTCATCCCTGCCGCTGATGCAGGTGGCCACCATGATTTCCCATTGCCCTCTGGCCACCCTACTGTCTTTGCCCATCAGTGCCCAGCTAAACCACTGCCCCGACCTGGATAGCACCTTGCTGCTGGAGGGGGAGGGAGGTGTGACTCTGCAGAGGTACCAGCCTCGCTCCCCAGACAGCAGCCCTCACCACTGGGTCAGTACAGCACTTGATGTCAATATAAACTAAAGTAATTGTGTCTATGCAGATCTTGTTGTCATTTGGCGTAAATCACAAGTACCTTAAACAATCTAGCTTGGAATCTGTATGTGTTCCAGTTTATAATATGTTTTTACTGTAGAGAGATGGGATATACATTGGGAATTTAATTGAACCTTTGGAGGCAAAAAGTGATATTCGAAAAACAGCAGCTTGGAATCTTAAGCATTTAAAGATATGCAGTGAGGGTCAGAGATATCAGAGGTGTTTATAACTTCTCCAAGGTCTGTCTGGTTAGAGGTGCTCAGTGACAGTGAGAAAATAAGGACACTGATGGTAAAACATAACAAAGAACTGGAAAAAAAACATAGATTGGAGTCTGCTTGTCTAATGGAAAAACACGTTGCTATTTTAGAAGTTATGTCTTGCTGACTTTAATCAATTGAAAAGAAATTCATCAACAACTAACAGCTCATCTGTTTGGCTCCTTTTCAGTGAATTTTTTTGTGCAATTGATTGACAAGTCACAGTATCATAATTCACACTGTTTTGTGGCCCAGCCTGAAGGACAGCTGGATTCCTATAAATGTCTCTGATTCATTTCTACCATAGCTACTGCCATTAGTTGTTTTGAATATTTTGTGTTGCTCCTTGCTGACTGATCAGTTTAAATTACTTCACTTTTGTTCGTATTCTATTCAGAGTGTGATAAATGTTAACTGAAGTATTAAAAATGCTGCACATGCTACATTTAAAACTACCATACATGCACTTTTGGTCACTGTGTTTTACTAGGTGATCAGGAGAAATAAACATGCATACTCAGCAGTATGACTGATAATTTCTTTTTGTATAAACACAACTTGTTCCACTGGCAAATTCACGTAATCTAAGGGGAGAAGCTGGAATCTGAAAACCTTCTGAAGGTCTTCAATCATTCTCTTATGAACTGATGGCCTTTTTAATTGAAAAATAAAATCATCTTAAAATCAATGTTATAATAAGAAGAATAGTCTTTTTGTTTGAAATAAAATGCCCATTTTTTATGACATTAGGAGTAAATTTGTCTCAGCGCCATCACCTAAGATTGTCAAACTTAAAAAGATCATTTAAGTCTCTTTATTTTCTCAAAGAAAAAAAATCACTTCCAGCAAAAAATCAGGTGGTACAGACACCTGTTTGTTGTTTAGGTATAACTATGAATTGTAATTTTAATTTAAAAAAAACAAGCATCTATTCTATCATGAAAAACAAAGTGACTGTTATTTACTTCAAATGTACTGTAGTGAATCTTGCTGTTATACCCGTAGTATAACTGTTACTAGAGCAAATTGGGTCCTGACACTAAACAATAGCAATTGGATTATTTAAAAGAGTAATGTTTAAAAATAACTAACATTTATATCTGTTGTTGTCCTTGAATCCCTTGGATTAGCCATCCAATTTACCCCTAAAAAGATTTTATAGATAAAATAGGTCAGTCTAAAATATACTTTCAATGGTTAATTGTTTGTTTTTACAATATTTTTACAAAGGTCATCCCCCTCTATCTCTCTCTGAATGATGCTTTGTTTTAACTAGTATTAATTGGATAACTTGTGAAATGTCTTATCAAAAAAAGTTTTTTAATAGGATGTTAGATCGTCTTACTCCTGATTCTTCCCCAAATATTATCTAATATCACAACATACTCTGAAACTGGTGCTATACCTGGAGTGTAGACAGAGAAGTTACTGTATGTTAATTATTTGTCTCCGCTTATGCAGGAGAGGACCAATCTGGGTTTGTTTTCAAAGTTAACTGCTTGGAAAGGATTTGTATTTCTGGTCAACTAAGTCAGTTTTAGTTTGGATAATATCTAGATGAACAAACTAACATGAAAATCACTAAACCATACAGTCCCCCCCCCCGTTTGCTTTGACATATTGCTATTTCATCCCTCCTCCTACTGTAGCTCCATTTTTCCCCTCACTGCCTTGCATATAAGTAGTGTGTAAGTGATACTTTAATTATATTCATGAATGTTTGAGGCTAATGGTCATAAAACATGTTAAATTCTGCAGTAGAATTACAGTTAATGGTGTAATTTGATCAGAAAGTTTTTATACCTTTGGAGCCACTTTAATGAAGATCATGATCTTTCAATATACCTCTGATCAATATCTAATTGAATCACATAACCATATATTTTCTAAATAAACTCATCAAAGTATAGAATATGTAGATGCTGGGCGCAGACTTTTGCAATGTCAGTATGAAAGAATGTCCTGTGACAGATGGCTCTATTTTAGGGATGAAAAGTTGTTGGAGGGGTAATTCTCCTTTTTAAAAGTGACCAGCTGATAGCTTTCCACTGCTAAATCATAGCAAAGCCAAATCTGTAACTTTCTCTCCCTTTTCATTATGAACAGGATGATAGTCTCACTGTGATGCTCATATAAGTGTTTTTTTCTGTTCAGTAGGTCATCCTCCTCGCTGCCTATCTGACATCCTGGCCGAAATGTGGCCCCATCACAGAGCACTGTTTCCTGCGATTGTTTTAAGGGGTTAAGGAGAGTGGAGGTTAGCTGACACACTGGCTCTCTGAAAGCTCAGGTTACTTACATAAACGCTGTTTGTATGAGACTCATCCTTGTGACTGCTTTTACAGCACTGACTTATGATCGCCCTCTCATCTGGAACGATGGGATAACAACATGATTATAAAGAGGATTAAATACTTTCCATAAAGTTATGTGAGGATGAACAGGGCTGTTAGAGGCACCAACCTCACAGCAACCTCTTTAAAACACTTTGGCAGGATTTGAAATATCAAAACACGCCCTTTAAGCACTATATTTTGTTACTCAAAGGAACTTTTTGAGGTTGCCCTCTGCCCTGTGCTGATGCAGATGACTTAAAGTCTACAGGTGTCAGCAGTTTGTCAGCCTCTTGTTTTACCTTTGCCTCCTAGCAGGAGGTTATGAAACTATGCTTGTGACAGGCCCAGTAACTTAGTCTAATTTCCTCACTGTAATCTCAGTGCCGTGCTGAAAACTGTCCACAGTCCAGGTCAGAGACAGAGAAAGGGTGCTGAGGTCTACTCATTATCAGAACGTCAGTTCACACATTGATTGCACAGGAAAACTGATTAACATTGCACATGAAACATGTTTTGAATAAAAGGACTTGGTTTTATGATGCCAGATGCATTGCACTTAGCCAAATGACCTTAGATGGATCAGGGTATGCTGCTTCAAGAATAACAAAGCTCTAACTTAATTTTATGGACTCAGATTGGGTTTTTTTTTCTAAACCGTTTCTGTCAGTTAGAGGGCAATGTAATTAAGCTGCAGGCCCATCAATAAAAGCTGAAGCAGAGGGAATATCCCCTACCCCCTCAGCCATGTTGGTGTATAATACCCACCAGGGCAGGTCAATAACCTCAGTTGGCTGTTAGAGGAAACACAGAAGTGACTGAGAATTTTGATGATTCTTTGTTTTCCATTGAAAGAAATTAAAAAGCTGAGTTGACGCTCCTTCTTCCCCTTTTTATGTCTCTATGCGCAGAGAAGAGCACGTTTCAAGCTGATGCTTTGTGACGTCTCAGTATTTCCAGTTTTGATTGTTCAGGTCTTTTTGCTTGTCATGAGTTGGCAACAGTTTCAACACTCCGAGGTGGAGCGGTTTATTCATCTGAATGGGGCTAGTTTTTATAACCTTTGACCTGACTGTTTCTCAATTTTGAAACTCATACAATGAGCAATAATTAGGACGGGGTCAAGGCGGATGAAAAACATCCTTTTTTTATTCATCTATTGAGCAAATACATTCATACACATTTTGCTGGATTAATTTATTTATATTTACGTTTTTAACAGATCAATAAAAGGTTAATCTTTTTAGAAGAAAAATTATTCACAATTTTCATATCTCTTTCAAAATTAATAAGAAATTTAAAAATCTGATAAGTGGGTACTGCAGGGCATTTTTATTAAGCTCTCAGTACCTTCCAGAAACATCTCTTATTTGTATGTCTCTTCACACACTGAGGTTTCCACAACTTCCAGCTCCAACAATCAACAACTTGATGTACTTTTAACTCAGTCAGAGGGAGAATTTGATGATCACTTCTTAAGTGTTGTAAAAAAAAATCTCTGTTGTATTTACAGAGCTGTTCTAACATAAATTCAGTGTTGATTTTTGCTCAAAGGCGTTCCTAGCTGGTGTATCTAGCTCCATCCATCTTCAACTTTGATCAATTTCCCTTTCTTTCCTAAACAAAGACCGTCCCCTCAGCATGATGCTGCCACTACTCTGTTTTATTCTGCAGGTAGTGTTATGAGAGTGATGATTGGTTGTAGAATTTTTTTTCCACATATAGAACTTTGCATTATAGAAAAACTTTTACATTTCCTTCCTGTGCCTTCTTCTAATTGTTTGGCTTCTTGTGAATTTTAAGCAGGATTTTTGTATGGGTTACTTTCTGTTATGGCTTACTTTGCGACACTCTTCCATAAAGGGAAGACTTGTGAAGAAGAAGATTAATAGTTGTCCTGTTAACACACCCTCTCACCTGAGCTGGAGATCTCTACATCGCCTCCAGGGTTGCCATGGCTCTCTTTGCTGCTCTTCTGTTGCCTTGCTGGTCAGTTTAGGCCTTCCGTTGTGTTATACTCTTTGAATTTTTACTTGGATTTGGATGTAGAAGCTTAACCTTTTTTTCCATCTTCACAACAACTGGTGCAAGAGATATAAAAACATTTATGAGGCACTATAACAAGCAGTAGGGATCTCTTACGCTGTATTCACTTTTATTTCTTGCTTCAAATTGCACACCACTGACAAACTACCAGATCGTTTTTGTCCAAGATGCAGGTCACCATGACCTTCTTATTAAGCTGAAGATGCTTTTTTCTCTCTTAAGTGCCCCCCTGCTTGTAAACTTGTCTCATCGCCTGCAGCTCTTTAGAGGTCGTGATCTTGGACCTAATTAGTTCATATAAAAGGTCTAGTGT